GTGCTTCTTCAGCGATCTCTTCTGAGGGAGTGTGCAGTGCTTCTTCAGCGATCTCTTCCTCAATTCCTGCTGTAGCGTTGTTCCCCTCTGCCGCATTCTCATCTATATACATCAGATAAATCTCATCCGATATGTACCAACGGGGAAGATGCGGTCTCCGCACTGGTGAACTGGACCAGTGACCAGTAGGCTGATAAGGGTACTGGTTGGCTGATGGTGGCTCACCACATAGCTTAAGTCGATTGAAATTTACCACTTTTCGCTTTCTATGGTTGCCTGCCTCTTCAACTTGGAAGGTCATGTCACCGATTTTCTTTACCACCACATGCAGTCCTTGCAATGGCGAATGTAACTTTTTCCCATTCTTTATCACAGGAACATAAAGGTACATATGGTCTCTAACCGTTATCTCGTCTGAGGCAACTCGGCAATCATAGCAGTCCTTCTGCCTTTTCTGGGCAGTCCTCTGGTGCTCTTGGGCTTTTTCATGGGCTTTGTCCTAGGTGGACCCAAGGTTCCTAACATATTCAGAGGCTGCTTCCAGCTAATATGGCTTGCGACCATACATGACATCTAAGGGTAGTCTGGCCTCATGACCAAACAAAAGATAATGCGGCGTATATTGAGTCGATGAGGGGATGCTGGACCTGTGCGCCATCATAGCCAAAGGTGATGTACTTGGCCAGCATGTCCTGTAATATACGGTTCATCCACTCAACCATGCCATCACTTTTGGGGTGGTACAGTGTTGTCCTGGTCTTGTCAATACTGAATTAGGTGCCCATCTCCTTAAGAAGCTGGGCTTCAAAGCTGTGACCCTGGTCAATGTGGATCCGTTCAAGTGCTCCTTGCCTGGAAATGACCTCATTCACCAGCCTTTCTGCAATCGTCTTTGCTTCTTGATTTGGAAGAGGAAACACTTCTGTCCATTTCGAGAAGTAGTCTCCAACAGCCAGGATATACTTCTGACCAGACTCAGTAGTTGGCAGAGGGCCCATGATGTCCATTGCAATTCTCTCAAATGGGCAACCTGAGCAGCTACTGACAAGGGATGCTCTCCTTGGCTGCTGTGGGGACTTCCTACTGGAGCACTTGTTACACTGTTGGCACCAGTCTTCAACATCATGCTTCTGGCCGTACCAATAGAAGTGTTCTCGTATTTGCCCCAAGCTCTTCTTTACCCCTAAGTCACCAGCTGACGCTGCATCATGAAGGGCGGATAGGACTTCAGGTACCACGGATCTGGGAAGTACTAACTGCAATCAGGTACGATGACCATCCTCGGTTTCTCACTGGCGGTAAAGGATGCCATTCTTCAATTGTAACTTGTTCCACTGTGCCCACAGGCTCTTAGTCGCTTTGCTGGTTTTTCGTATCTCTCAGGAAAGCTGCTTGGGGTAGTCTGGTTCTGCTTTCAGGCCAGAATCCGCTTCAGGTCAGGATCTGCTGCTTGTCTGGACTGCAGGTCAGCCCTTGTCCAACTGGGTACCCAGGTGCTGGTATTGTTATCTATTACATTGGTCTGGACTGTCTGGTCAGCTTCCTTAGCAGCCAAGAGGGGATTCCTGGACAGGGCATCGGCATTCTGGTGTTTTCTTCCTAGTTAGTGTTCAATCTTGTTGTGGTACTGGGCTAACAACTCCAGCCACCTGGCCACTTGACCCTCGGGTTATTTGAAGCTCTGTAGCCACTTCAGCGCATTGTGGTCTGTTCTGAAAGTGAATGGTCTCCCATACAGATAGTGGTAGAAGTGCCTGATTGCATATACCTTGGCAAGCATCTCTTTCTTTGTTGTGCTGTAACATTGCACACGGTTGTCCAACACACATCCTGCATATGTGTTCACTCTCTCGCTCCCATCGTGCTCTTGGGAAATGAATGCCCCGATGTCAGTCACTCGCATCACAGTCCACAATGAATGGTACATTGCGACAGGAGGCGGCTATTACTGAAGCTGTCACCAATTTCTTATTCAGGGTATGGAAGACTGTCACACTCTGTAGACCACCGGAACCCTTCAGTGGAATTTGCTGTCAAATGGTGGAAAGGGACAGCAATCTGTACAAAGTCTCCAATGAACCTGTGATAGTACAAGGCAAGACCCAGGAAGCTTCTTCCATCTAACACCTTGGCAGGGAAGGGCCACTGCTCTACTGCTCTGATCTTGTGTGGATCGCTACGCACCCCTTCAGCAGAGATCACATGACCAAGATAGGGTACTTACGGCAGTAACAGAAGACACTTTGAGGGTTTCAGCTGCAGCCCTGCCTGGCGGAGCTATTCAAAGACTTCTCAGAGCTGCCCCAGGTGTTCCTCAAAGTCCCATCCAAAAACAATGACATCGTCCAGGTA